TTTTTTTCCGGGGACCTTTTTTTCCGTATCTTTTTTTCCGGTACCTTTTTTTCCAGGTACCTTTTTTTCCGGGACCTTTTTTTCCGTACCTTTTTTTCCGGTACCTTTTTTTCCTAGAATCATTGGACGATTCTTAATTCTATTCCAAAAGAAACGTTTTCTTACTTGTTGCTGATAGTAACTGATTGATTAATTTTCAGTTGGCAAGTATGTGAAAGGACGTAAGCTTAAACGTCTCTGTAGTTAACTTTATCTGATGTTAACAAAATTGTACGAGTTTTAATAAAATTATAGGGTAAAAGTGAATTTGTAAATCGCAAGAGAAATAACAAAGAGAGTGAGGATTTTTCAACTTTTTCAATGTCTCAATATATATTCATCCACCATTATTTACACCGCCATTGCCCGAATCGCGCCATCATTTGATAATCAGTCATTTATTGCAATATGCGAATCACAAATATACAAATGACGAGTTTTCTTCGTGAGAAAATATTAAAAACTACTTTGCTGTTATAATTAATTTCTAGAATTATTTTGTGGGTGTCCATGCTGACGTGAATTAAATGTATTTTATTTTCCACCGTACAACAATTGGATACAAACAAGTGAAGTCATTTTAGGTAAAATGTGGCATTTGTTGATTCAGAAGCTAATCGGGTTCAACATGCACGCGTAATGTCGTTTACAGGGATCCAATTAAGTCAGATTTATTCCACATGGTTAGGCATAATCAGAATCACTACTTCTTCTCGGGTTTCAAGTATACCTAATTAATTGTTGTAAGCAATAAAATTGAAAAGGAAAACGAATTTCACGCACAAGAAGGTGCATATAACTGATTGCCTGCTGAAGGTCAACTGATCTAGTTTCACCCGTAGGTTGGAGCTAGACATCTTCATGGATGGTGTTTTCAATATAAATGTAAACAATAACAATCTCGAGCTCAATACCTGCTCTAGTTCCGGTTAGAAAGTTTGCAACTGCTTACTACAGCTTATTCTGCGAGGCGATATTTTCAAACAGATAATTTTGTTTTCAATAATAGAAGTAAATTAGATAATTTCTGAGCTCAAATCTGCCGTATTTCATAAGATATTAATGTTATTAAGTAATTCTGGTGAGTTTGAAGTGAAAATTTGTTTTAGTTATTTATAGATATATTGCTAAAAAAGGTGACATGGTTGCTAGATTTTGAATAACTCGCTTTTTTGGCAGTCCTGCTTTAGCCTCTTGCCATTTGTTTATTACTGTTTACTCTTGTTGCAAGCTGTGCATCATCTTGTTTAGTCATCACGTTAGTGTTAGCACTTTTAGCATTGTAGACACAACTATTCTTAGCATTGTAAACACAAGTAATAAGTAATCGAATACCACGTTTGCAAGAATCTCAAAACACAATGATCCCGTTGTGAGCCAAATTGCTTTAAAATGCACCGTAAACAGTTACCCGGAAGTATAGGCGGTATGGAGGTTGCAGCGTTCTCCAGTGTAGAAAACACCATCCATCTGAACTTGCATTGAAGTTGGAAAAGTTGTTATTTTAGTTATAAAGAGATACTTAAAATTTCTTTTTTTTTCTCCATCAAAATATAGTGTAGATGTCTGTTGATACTAGTCACTACAGAGGCTTCTGTAGTGACTAGTATCAACAGACATCTACAGATGGCGATACTAGCAAGCATCGCTGACGTCATTCCTTTTCCTTACCAGGGGGAACGCCACGATCATTCCTGGACCAGACGAGGTCAAACTTGGACGATCAGCTCTGAAGCGGGAGACTTTTAATTGTTCTACATTTATACGTAATTTTTAGTGAAACGATTTTGCCCTACCTGAAATTTACTTTACCAGATTTGTCATCTGGTGCAATCCAGATAAGAGTAGCTGATTTTTTGTCGCTTGGATCAGAATGAGTCATACTGGAACATTTCTCTATGTCATGTAGACCATTTCCTTCCATGAATTTTCCGATTGTGTCGCCAGTATCAGGATCAAAAGCTTGTACCATTAAACCTTTAAACGGTGTATCAACCGGAGAATTTACATATACTACAAAAATAAGAACAAAAGGAAAATATTATTTAGAATACATACCCTACCAGCAAAATAACTTGGGCCCTTATTGGACCAATATTTAGGAATCTTGACTCAATCAGGGTTCAAAAAGCCGTTATTTTCTGATATTGGCCCTATATAGAACTGTTTGATTCACCTGAATATTTCATATTCATTATTCAGCCAATATAGAGCCTATATTGATTGCATATAGGCCAATATTGACCCTATACAGGACCAATATTGAAGAAAAATCTAGACATCTCAATATTGGTTCCTCGGTACGTGTTCATATAGGACCAATATTGAGTTAATTTTGAGTCTAACTGGGGCCAATTAAAATTGTAGTTAAAAACAATATTGGTCGACTGCATTCTATTCAACACATGAAAGAAACTGAATGATAAAAATAAAGTAGGACAAAACTAAGGAGGCCAGATTTTTAAGCCACGATTTAAGGACTAATTAGAGGATAGTCATCGAAAAATTTTGCGATTTTTGAGGACATTTTCTATCCTCAAATCAAATGGTTTGAAAGTTTTTGAGGACAACTAATGGAAATTCGAGGTTCGTCCTCAAGATTTGATGAGCTCTGGTCACCTTGGACAAAACCTAAATTTCGATTCACGAAATAAGTGGCAGGTTAATTTTTTTCCTACGCTCTCAGAAAATTCGGTTCAACGTTAAATATCAGTAGCACAGTAGGTTTAAATCATATTATCGTGCAAATTTTGTACAATCTCAATAAGATCTTACAGTAAAAAAATAACTAACTTGCATTTATTACATTCTAATAAATGCATGAAAATAAAAATTTAGGATAAGAATAAGGTATGAATAAATCTAAAATTTGATAAACAAAGCAACTTGTTAAATGATTTCATTTATACACTCTCAAAATTTTTTTTTTAAACGTCGAAAAATAATATCAATACCTTAAATCTTAGCTCCGTTCAAGTTTTTAACTTCAACAAGATATATTACTGTAAAAAATAGCTAGTCGTTGAGACAATTTTACTCAACACGTGAAAAAAAAATGAAAGATGCAAATAAAGTGTAAATTAACTTAGAGTTTAATAAGCAGAATAGCTTGATTGATTTTGTTTATACACACAGAAAATTTGATTCTTATAGTTTAAACATAATATATTGCAAAATTTCTGCAACCTTGCTTAGATGTTAAAACAAATCAAGTTTCCGTTCTAGTCAAATCATATTACAATAGTATTGCACTATGATAATGTGGACCTTCTTGGCACCGCTTTAGGTTGCAATAGATCTGCACGATATTGCAGTTCAATGCGCTCCAAAGTTTCTAACGGAAGGTGTAGATTTACATTTAAAATTGATTATGAATTTAATCTACAACTCAGAAAAATGTCAACCTGCGATGTGGTCTCCAGGATTATAGCTGTCTGTCTCTTGAATAATCTGGTAAGGTGAAGTATCATTTGGTTGTGGTTTGTTACTTCCATGTCCCGGTACCATGTTGTCACAAGCTGATGGTGGGGCCCCGCTTGGATACCCGTACACCAGCGGTAAACAGAAGAGGACTGTTAAAATCAACTTTCTTAGCATGATGAATCTGAAAAATAAATTTCAGAATTTTACATGTTTCAGCGCTAAATTGAAGAAATCAGTTATTCTGCAGATAATCAAGGTAATGTGCAGAAATAAGTTATTCCGCATATTATCAAGGTAATGTGCAGAAATAAGTTATTCTGCAGATTATCAAGGTAATGTGTAGTTTAATTAGAGTGATCCATTAAAGAATAAATAAAGGAGAACGTTATTAACGTAGATTTTTTTCTCTTTTTATTGCTGAATTCATTATGAGAGATTGGAATAAATAGTAAATAAAAAATATAACAAAAACTCTTTACTTATTATAGAATTAAAAAGACAAATGAAAGATATAACGCTGATTTGAAAATTTTGTTTCGATATAAATGCACAATATGAAAAAAATTCAAAACACGATCACGCAATCCAATCTTAATTCCATAATTTTGATTGAAATGAAGCGTTAGAACTCAATTCAGAAAAAAAAAATCACAAAATATTATTATTCCTTTATTCATGTTACAAATGTAATCGTATTGAAGAAAATAAAAATATAGCATGGACACTACATAATATACCGTAGAGTGTTATCTATTCACATCTATTGAAGCAACTCACTGTTTCTGTTAAGTATTGCTAGAGGGCGCTGTAGGCAGTTGGGCTAAGAGAAATTCCAAGAAACGCAATATGATGACGTCAGAGTAGATCGTCCATCATTATTATAGTTCATACTAAAAATCTTCTACATAGTAAAGCATAACTAATCTAGTGCTGCCATGTAATGTTATCATAAGAATGTTATCAGGTGATAATCGTAATACTGGTTTCGTTAACAGCAATGTCCAAAATTTTACATTTTCATTAAACAATATAACATTTTAAGGTGCTCATTAAAAGCTTTTGCTATTGTTTACGTTGATTCCTGTCACTATACTATAAATTATAAATTTAGTCTAAAAATTTTACTGTGAATCAAATTTGAAATTGACAATACTTAACAGAACATAGTTTCAACTTTAACTCTTTGTTATGCTTCAACTTTTTTAAAACTGCTCAATACACTAGTTCTGATAATGAAACTAAACACATTGACATAATGTTAAGAATTTTTTTTTTCTCTTAGGAAATTTTTTGAGTGGATTTGCTGTGAGGGTTTTGATGAAGCACTAGTTGAACAGAAATGCCCAACACATTTTCTACAGTCTAAATGTTATGTTGTCGAGTGATATTTTCTCTTATAGATTAATGGACATGTAATTTATTTTTGACGCTGTTAGTTCTGTGTTTGAATACATTGTCATCCATGAACATCAGTTTTTTTAAAGTAAAATCTTCTAAGAACATACGTGAAAACTATCGAGAATTTCTTGTATAAATTATTCAATTATTCTAGAAAGGATGCTCTTTTCGAACTATGTCTAAAGTGTACTGATCTCTTCTTATAATTTATACAATAATGGGTCATGATTGCTTGAATCATTAATAATATACTAATTACTGTTTGGTCAAAACAGTTACTACGCAAAGTAAAACTACTAAATTTAATTCTGATAAATGAAGTCTCTGATCAAGTAAAATTGACATTCAGTTCCATATTCTTTCTCACTTCTTTTCCATTAGACTTAGGATCCAATCAAAAGCTCTTATTTTACTACGTGAGTATTGTTCCTACATGATATCAAAGATTTTTATACTATTTGAGCAACTAAACATAGGACGCCAATGAAAAGTTTTAGGTTGTAAAACTACTAAATTTCATTCGGAGGAATTTTTCTTATTATTATTAAGACTGATATCACACGTTTTAATTAGTCATATTCCGTCTCAGATCAAGTAAAATTGATTTTCAGTTCCATATTCATTCTCGATATACATATTTCCATTAGACTTAGGATCCAATCAAAAGCTCTTATTTTACTACGTGAGTATTGTTCCTACATGATATCAAGGATTTTGGTACCATTTGAGCAACTAAGCATAGGATGTCTATTTAAATTTTCAGGTTGTAAAACTACTAAAGTTCATTTTGATGAATTTTTTAAAATTATTTTTAAGACTGATAGCATACATTTTAATTAGTCATATTCCAGTCTTTTTAACGTCTCAAGTAAAACTGACAGGATCAAGTAAAACTGACATTCTGTTATATATTATTTCTCAATATATTTCCATTACACTTAAGATTTAATTTAAAAGCTTCCCAATTATCCTTTTACAGTGTGGGTATTGTACTTACACGCAGTGGCGTACGCAGAATTTTTTTAAGGGGGGTGTTCATAATTTTCTGAAACTACTAAAAGAAATTCAAGAAATTCGAGTCTGTAATAAAGCACTATTATTTCCCTAACTTAGACAGCTAGACAATTTTGATTTTTTATTTAAACAACATTGTTTAGTTAAATTTTGATTTGATTTTTTAAGTTTAAGAACATAATGTAATATCTTCTGAAAAAAGTCCAATATCATATGGGTGGGAAGTAACACTTTGAGGNAATTAATTAGCATATTTGAGGTCACCCCCAGGAACCATTAAGATTGACACTTAAATCGTGGAAATCCGATCATTAGAACAAAAGTTATTCAGGGTGATATCTTTTTTTTTTTGCCGACTGTACACGAAATCAAGGATTTTGATGTTATTTGAGCAACTAAACATAGGACGCCTCTGGATAGTTTTAGGTTATAAAACTACTGAATCTCATTCTGATGAATTTTTCTTATTATCATTGTGACTGATAACATACGTTTTAATTAGTCATATTCCGTCTCAGATCAAACAAAATTGACATTCAGTTCCATATTCATTCTCAATATACTTTGCATTAGACTTAAAATTCGATTAAAAGCTCTTATTTTACAATGTGAGTTTTGTTCCAACTTGATATCAAGGATTTTGATACCATTTGAGCAACTAAACATAGGACGTCAATGGAAAGTTTTAGGTTGTAAAACTACTAAATTTCATTCGGAGGAATTTTTCTTATTATTATTAAGACTGATAGGATACATTTTAACTAGTCATATCATATTCCGTCTCAGATCAAGTAAAATTGATATTCATTCTTGATATATTTCCATTGGACTTAAGATCCAATCAAAAGCTCTTATTTGACAATGTGAGTATTGTTCCTACATGATATCAAGGATTTTGGTAGAATTTGAGCAACTAAACACAGGATGTCTATTTAAAGTTTTGAGTTGTAAAACTACTAAAATTCATTCTGATGAATTTTTTTGAATTATTTTTAAGACTAATAGCATACATTTTAATTAGTCATATTCCAGTCTTTTTAACGTTTCAGGTAAATTAGGATCAAGTAAAACTGACATTCTGTTATATATTATTTCTCAATTTATTTCCATTACACTTAAGATTTAATTTAAAAGCTTCCCAATTATCCTTTTACAGTGTGGGTATTGTACTTACACGATATCAAGGATTTCAATGTCATTTGAGCAACTAACTGTTTCAGGAAAGTCTTAGATTGCATTCTGTATTGTTATTTACGATCACTCTTTATGGTTTTTATAATTCTAAGGAACTTTTGCTAAAATTTAAGAAAAAAATTAAATTTTTTTTCCTTAAAATTCAATTAAAATTTCATTTAAAATTTTCCAAAAATTAATTTATTAATTCTCCCGAAACCTCTCATGGCAAATTCTCTCTCACTTACATAGATAATTTAAGATTTAAAATATAGAAGAAGTGGGTTTAGGTAAACCTGGTGTAAACTTTTCTTCAAACATCTTTTCTTCAAAATATCAAATTGCAAACAAATTATAGCAGTATTACTCAGGGTTACGCAGTGTGAAATAATTCTGCAATAATTTGTATAATTTTGCATTCCGATATTTTGCATTTTGGCATTCTCAAAATATTTTTTTTTAACAGTTGAAACTTCATGGTTTACTGTAAGTTTACTGATTCTAGGTTACTAGGTTCTGAACAAAATGTGCCAGAAAAACTTTCTCCTTTGAAATAGTCTTCTTAAAACACGCGATTTTTTTTTTCTCAATAAAAATCGGGCAATATCCATTTTTTTTAAAATATACATGTGAATGTTCAATTTATAAATTAAGCATAAATACTGTATAATTGTATAAATTACGGTTTAAATCATTTTTTCCCTTGAAATAATATCTCCTTAAAACATGCGATATTTTTTTTTTTAAGGGGCATTTCCCATTTTTTTAAAATTTTTTATGTGTATGTTTCATTTATTACTTTGGCATGAATATTATTTAATGTAAAAAATTATGGTTTAAATGTTAAAAATTATGGTTTATTAAATATTTGCTATATTTTTTTTTTTAGTCAAGATGTAGTTTTCTGGGACTTAGAGGTAAAATGAATTAAGTTATTTTTAAGTTGAAGTGGTTTCGGCTTTTTTAAACACAAAATAGTTAGCAGCAGAGAATTCACCTTAATTTCTGTTTTTAATGATAAATATAAGTTCCCTTTAATTACGTAAACTTGCCTTTTATTTTCTTTCGCAATTTAAGTGGTTTCGGCTTTAGACATCGAATTTAATGCGAAATAATTATAGCTACAGAGAATTCGCTTTAATTTCTGCTCTGAATGATAAATAGAAATTTCCTTCAATTAACATAACTGACCTGAAAACGAAAATAAAAGGCAAACGTTGGCTCTAATTTTGTGGAGTTTTATATAAGAGGATAATTTTAGTTATAATTGTAACTGTCACTATTAAGCCGGTTTATTATAACTATCACTTTCCAGTTGGCTTTCTTTGGCAACTATTTAATAATGCTCTTATCGGGTGACAATTTAAGGCATTCGTTAAAATTATTCTTTTAAATATCAAAGGTGAAAATGTTCAATTGATTTTCTGGATTTTCTAGTATTATAGTTAAGAACTTTTAAAATTATCGATTCAGAAATATTTTCATTGTACTCACGTGCAATTTTCCTTGTCTGAGATTTTTTCAGAAGTGGAAGGCGAACAATATGCACTTTCGAGTTGTTTACCAAAGATTTAGCTCGTGGTCCCAATATCTCTTTTTTACGGATCCGGTTTTCTATTTAATACATCTTCCACAGTCATTTAGATCCAATAACTTTCGCGGAAATATTTCTATTGACCAACTTTTACCCCGCAAGTTCTATCTTTTTATTACTTCAGTTTCACTTAATTCAGGTTCTTGCGGTATTGCTAAAACTAAATTGCAGACGATAAAAGAAGTATCATTAGAACAAACATCGGCGATTTTTTGCTGAAAAGAGTAAATAAATAAACAAACAAATAAATAAATAACTTTGTTGAAACATCTCATAAAAAGTAAACTGTTCTTATAATTTATACGTAAAAAGTAATGATTCAAGTTGGGTGTCCCTGAAAGAGGAGTTTAATAGCGGAGGAGGTCAAATATAAATTAATTTAAATCAATAAACATTATACATTAAACAAACATATACATTAAACAAAATCTTATCGATATTTTAAATTAAATAAATTCAAATGGTAATTTAGATAAACTCAATTTATGTAGTTTAAATTTCTTTTTAAATTAAATTTATGGTAAAAATATTATTTCCGAAAGTATTCTTCCTCTGCGGTATTTTAATGCCCTAAATTTCATTACTAAATTTGTTTGATAATCGCATAATATTCATCATATTCCCAACATATTCATCATATTCTTTGCTCCAAATATTTACCTATCAAAAATTTCATATGAAAAATAATATAGTGCTCCTCAAAATAACAGCTTCATCTAAACTATCCTGAACTGAAAAAAAAAAAAAAAAAAAAAAAAAAAAAAAAAAAAAAAAAAAAAACTCTTTGATTGATATTTTCTCCCTAAAAACTATTGTGTCTTTCTTATACTTCAAGAACAGTTTGTTCTATCATCATGAAATTTTGACAGCCGCTGTAAGGGACAAATTTATCACTCGTTCCTAAAATTCGTTGGAAATTTTCAATTAGTTCATTTGGTAGAGCCACATGAAAAATGGAATTTTATCATTGCCTTAGAACTTGCCACTGATAAAAATGAAATTGCTGCAGGCGATTTTTTTCTTCTTTCTGTTTCAAATATTTTGATGATTACATTACAGTGGCAGTAGCTAGCTTATAGCTCTCTTTAAGAAAAGAAATTATTTGCAAGTTCTTTCATATTTACTTATTTTTTAGGTGTCAAGTCAGATATACTCTATGATCATCATGAACATGCTAGTACTGGCGGATTACGTCACCAAATTAATATTTCTAAAGTTATTTGAAACCATTTGCTTATAGTTATGCCTTTAAAATGTGAATTTATAAAACTAAATAATTTAAAATCAACTGTAATTGAAATTAAAAAAAATAAGTTCTGTTTTGAAAAGCAAAATTAATAGAGAAAAAGTACTAATTCTTATAAGAGAAATATAAAAAAATCGCCATAGTATTACGGAAGAATGTTTGATAACATTTGTTTTTAGGTAATAATTCAATTAAAAAATAAAGTCTATTCTAAAAAGCAAAATTAAGGGAGAAAAAGTACTTTTTCTTTTAGGAGAACCTTGAAAAATCGACACACTATTGTTGACTCTAATGTGGCTTTATTAATTCCAGTAATCTATACAAATTGAAATAAAAAATTAGTCTTGTACTTAAAAAATAAAAAAAAATTTAACGGAGAAGTAAAACAAAATAGTTTATTAAAATCTCCAATCAACAAAATATATAAAAATCTCCTAAGTTATAAAAATCTCCTAACTATTATTAATGCCAATGATGTTTAACTAATTTTGGTAATATGCATAAATTGAAGGGAAAAAAAAACTGTGTATTATCAAACAAAATTAATTTGTTTAGGAGAAATGTAAAAAAAATCGACATATTTTTATTGATGCCAATAGTGTGCTAACATCTAACCTCTGCAAAAGTAAAGATGGTTTGATTCTGACAGACAAACAGGCTGTACTCAGCAGATGGAGTGAACATTTCCAAGAAATGTTCAGTAAACATGATCAATCCTATTGCTCTGGGAGCGTTTTTGAAAATCAGAATAATGAAGNTGCGTCTCTTATAATGAAAGAACCGTTTGTTCTATCCTCATGAAATTTGGATAAGGAACAAATTTATCACTCGATCCTAAAATTCATTCAATTTCATTGAATTTTCAATTAGTTCGTTCGTCAGAGTCGTATGAAAAATGGAATTCTATCATTGCTTTAGAACTTGCCATTGCTGAAAGAATGAAAGAACCGTTTGTTCTATCCTCATGAAATTTGGATAAGGAACAAATTTATCACTCGATCCTAAAATTCATTCTAAATTTTCAATTAGTTCGTTCGTCAGAGCCGTATGAAAATTGGAATTTTATCATTGCCTTAGAACTTGCCATTAATAATAAAATGAAATTGCTGCAGACGATTTTTTTTTCTGTTTCAAATATTTTGATGATTACATTACAGTGGGTGTTGCTAGCTTATAGCTCTCTTTAAAAAAAGGAGTTATTTGCAAGTTCTTTCATATTTACTTATTTTTTAGATGCCAAGTCAGATAAACTCTACGATCAGCATAAACAAGATAGTACAGTGGATTACATCACCAAATTAATATTTTTAAAGTTATTTGAAACCACTTGTTTATCTTGTTCATAGTTATGCTTTTATTGTTTATAAAACTAAATAATTTAAAATCAACTATATATGAAATAAAAAAAATAAGTTCTGCTTTGAAAAGCAAAATTAATGGAGAAATAGTACTAATTCTTATAGGAGAAACATAAAAAAATCACCATACTATTATTGAAGAATGCGTGATTATATTTGTCGTTAGGTAATAGTTAAATTAAAAAATAAGGTTTATTCCAAAAAGCAAAATTAAGGAAGAGAAAGTACTCTTTTTTTTAGGGGAACCTTAAAAAATCACCACACTATAGTTGACTCTAATGAGGCTTTATTAATTCTGGTAATATGTACAAATTGAAATAAAAAATAAGCTGTGTACTTAAAAAAAAAAAATACCGGAGAAATAAAACAAAATCGTTTAAAAAAACGCAAAAAATCTCCTAACTATAATAAATGCCAATGATGTTTAACCAATTTCGGTAATAAGAATAAATTGAAATAAAAAAAAAATAAGCTGTGTATTATCAAGCAAAATTAATTGAGAAATGACACCAATTTGTTTAGGATTAAAAAAATCGACATATTTTTATTGATGCCAATAGTGCTTTATTAATTTTGGTAACAGGCACTACTGGTATTACGGTAGTTAGTGCAGTTTTAATAGGTGCCAAATCTACAAATATAAATATAATGTCATATATTAGTATATTCGATACTTATTAAATTTGCATCAATAACAGAAAGCTTTAAAAATACTGTGATTTTCTTAACGGTCCCTTTGAAAGGTGATCTAATCACGTGATTCCGGTAAACTTTGATTATAATAAGCTGGCCTCGAGCAACATAATCGTGCCAAATGATTCTGAATACAGTTAATCTTTATTTAGATAGGTTGAACTACTAAAACATGTTTTGCTTATTCTAATAACGTAAAGCCGTCGAGAAGGACAAAATATAATAATAAATTTTAAAAAATGTAATTATTTTGGCTCCATTAATTGTGATGTTATACGTCTTTAAGTGCTGTGCAGGATTTCTCAAAATTGCTTACTTTTTTTCGTTATATTGCTAACCTTTTTTTTTTACCCCTAACGAAGAACAGGGATTAAGTTAATTACGTATAATAACAAAAATAATAAAAGAGTAAAGAAAGGTCATAAAGTTTCTGCCACGAAATTATAGTCATAGAATTTCATTTAATCTACTTTTAAAAAAGATTTAAAAAGTTTAAATGACTCATGTTAATGCTATTCTAATTCTGATGTCACGCAAAAATTTGAATCGACATATTTTTTTTAAATAACTTTGTTGTGGAAATTCTTTAAAAAATTCGATGAACTAAACTGCCCAAAGCATTATCTACGAACAGGAGCTAATATAGAAGATATATCGCTTAAATAAATATGTCTATGGCTTAAAGATGGATTAAGCTATAGGATTAAGTGGTCCATCCCTATAGTTTGAGGCTGATGAGCATTTAAGGGGAGTTGGTAGGGCATATATCAATAATGCTAAAACTTACTTTTTTCGATGTACCTTTTCTAAGAAACTACTTATGATATCGCTTCGATATTTTTTGGGCAAATTTGAGATTATATCAGTTGTATGCCGTGATAATGCTTTAGCGTTAACTGGGATACTTTTTGAGCTAAGAAAGATTTTTGCTGCTCGAAAATGATGAAACTCTTTAGTTCATGATTTATTTAAATATTTCTGCCGAAGGTATGCAGTAACAGTTATCACAGTGTAAATATGTAAATATTTTTTAAAAAAAAACTGAAGCAATGTCTTGTTTAGGTGCTGAGAAGAGGTACATCAAAAAAAGGTCAGTTTTACATTCGACTCCATTGGTGCTGATAATTTTATTTTTTGTTACATTGTTTTCCGTGAATAACAATTATTATTATTATTAATAATATTTCTTTTTGACAAAATCTGTAAAAAAGGTATCTGATAGATATGTGGTGATTAGATTAAATAATATTAAATAAATTGATTCAATAAAATTAATGATCACAGCAGTTTAATAATAATTAAAAAAAGAAGAAATTATATTAAGTTACAACGTAAAAGTCAGACAGGATTAACGACAGCAGCATTTTTAAAAGAGGTGAATGCTCACCGGTCAGCAAGCCCGAATGAACGCTTATATTGAGCTGTTGCCAGATTCTTGAAACTAAAGTTTGAACACAAGAGATGTTGCCATCTTATAAAAAGGTCATTTCCTTGAGGGAAATGTTTTGCACTGCCACCTGGCGAGCAGAGTTCATCGCCATCTGGTGAGAAGGTGGTTCACCACAGATAACTTTATATAAAATTTATAAAGCATACAAAATATATTTTTATTTGCTCTTAAGGGTCAATTTAATACTCCCAATGTTCAATTGCCGTATGACCCACAGCAAATTTGCTTATACGATATAAAGAATTACGATGCATTTTGAACAAATAAACATTGACCCCCATACCGCCATTGAAAAGTTTTAGTTAGCATCTATTGTAAAAGCGTTATTTATGCCTCGTTCTTATTTATTGGTTCTTTAATTATTTGTGAGTATTATACAACAATTTGTTTTAATTTCAGATATCAATATAAATGCACTATAATTAACAATTGAGATTACTCATCGCTTTTTGCTTTAAAAAATTAATC